TATGTGGAATATATCCTATTTGAAGACCCAATCCTCTGCTATATTTCACTTCCTAATATTTTATTTAAGATTGTTGCATCTATTTTCATACCTGAGATTGCCCATAACTTTTATTCTTTTTTACTTTTGGTTATAATTCATTACCAATTCATGGAATAAGTTGAAACATTCTCAGAATTATACTAACTTCAAAGAATGAGTTGAAAGTTCTCCATCTCCTTCTATCCTCTATCACAATTTACATAAAAGGGAATGATCTACTTTAGAAATTTTGGTGAAACTAGCCTGTAAAATTGTCTAGGTCTGATGCCACTTTTACATTTGGATTTTGCAATATGTTACATAATTATCATTCTACTAAGATCATCAATATTCTTTTAAGTAAATATTGGTATAGTTCCGAGTATTGTTTTTTTGTAGATTTTCAAACCTATCAACATGAAATTGTACCTGATATCGTAATAAGAGTTTTCAAATCTTATTTTAAATCTCCAAGATCTCTATTAGCTAATTTTTCAAGAATACAGCAACCTTTAAAACTCTCTTAAGACTATTAATCGGACTTCAAGTCTTCTACCACTTGCTCTATCAACTCTGTTCCTTAGCTATTCTTTGATTTGTTCATAGAGTTTCATGTCTATCTATGATTTTGCTTTCCTCAACTGCTTGGTGATTTGGGGCTGCTATTTAAAATCTTTACATTAGATAATCCTTGTTCACTTGCCTGGCGATGTTTGTGTGCCATAGCTTGCCACTAGAGACTGTAGGAGAGGGGCAAATAATAATGGTAGCTAGATGCACCAGTAGGTTATATTTAGGGTATATTCATGATCTCTCCTGGAAACCTCAGAACTGCTCTCCTCTTCGGTGTCAATGTCCACAGTGGTTTCTTCAGTTTTGGGGAAAATGCTATGGAGTCCCTGTGCTTTGCACAGGCAGCAGAAGTGAAGGAGCTGAATGGCGCAGTTGCTCTGAAAGCAGTTCCCTACATGCTTTTGGCTTTTTTCCCTCTAAAGCTTTTCCTATTTCTGTATCAATTGAGCATGCCTAAGGAAACTTCACTAACTCTGTAGCATCTTCTTTGTGCATACAGGGCTGTGGTTTCATCTAACCAGAAATCTATAATTTTACATGTCATAAAATCTTTTATCCATAGCATTGTGGATTTTGAAATTTTTGGCCTCGCATGGGATTTTGGATGGAAGAGTTGTACATGTCGGCTTAATTCACTCTTTTGATAAAATCACTCATCCCTCTTGCAAAGACTCTCTCTGTTTCTTTTGGGGATTTCTTTATCCTCTGTCACCCACTCAATAAGTTCTACTTTAGTCTTCGGGTAGCATTACTCCACTCCTCTGGCCACAGTAGTTAATCAAGGGTGGACACGTGGCATAAACATAGCCAATAATGTTAACACTGTGAGGAATATTTCCCCTTTTTCCTAGATGTGCTAAACCAGAGCTGCTTCTATCAGGTCTCCCACCAGTTGGGAGGAAGACTGTCTGCAGTAGAGGGGAACGAGACCAAAGCAAAAAGAATCAGAGATGAAAAACATCTAAGAGAGATGAAAGATTGAGATATATGCGTGTATACACATATACTCTTAACTACATTGTTTGACTACAGTTAACCTCTGTCCAGCTCACCCCTGTATTTACCAGTTAGTGATCACGTAATACACCTTTCCTTTTTTTAATTGGTTGAACTATTTTGAGTGGAATTTCTTTCACTGCACCAAAAAACTTACAATACACTGACTATCTCATTCACAACCTTCAGATTTCCTCTTAGATTTCACTTGTTCCTAGAAACCCCTATAAACTTAAATCTACAAGTTAGGTGTTCCTCTTTGTCTTCTATTTGTTCCCAGAGGATCATAATATTTGGGGCCCTATACTATAATGAATTATTTAATCACCTCTCTCCTCTCATTAGACAGTCAACCCCTTGAGGACAAGAATTGTTGCTTATCACTGTGTATCTCTGGAAGTTAGCACAAAACCCACAATGTCATAGGAACTGGGTCACATGTTGAATGAATAAATAAATAACTTATAGTTGTATCATTTAGTAGATGCCTTGTGCTAAATACCTGAGTAGAACCATGACTTTGGGTATCTGCTATGAGTTTTTGATCATCACCATTGCTAATACCTGAAAGTATTCTTTTTGTGTGCAATTATTAAATGTTATTTGTGGTTTTCAGGTAACAAAAGAAAGAACATAGCAGTTTCCAGATTTCTCCCTGGATGGGGCCTTAGGCCAAGGAAGGATATAGATCATATCCCCTAAGGAGAGTCTGTTTCCCTTACAATTCTTATGTCAGAGGATCTGTGAGCTAATTGCATTGTCAAAACAAGTCTTGGTGAGCTGGCTTAAACGACTGAAAGGCAGTCCTCATCTCTTTAAAGTGAGTGAAACTCATACACTTCATCCTCTCAGGTGGCTACAGCCACAGGTATTTGCTGCCTCCATTCTGTCATTATCCTGGTTCGTTCTGGTTGCTTACTACCTTTTCAACGTATATGATCTGTGAACCACTGAATGAACTACAAAACATGTCGTTTATAGAACTCTATCTATCAGAAATATTCCTACATTATGCAGGATCTCAGGTCAAGAATAATAATTTACTGAAAATGTGCCTCTATGATCTAAGCACAACATGAAATTTTTTGAAAAAGGTGAGTAGAGATTAGCCAGAAACAATTGCTAAATGCAAAAACCAATTCCTTTAAACTAAAACCCAAGAAAAGTATGAGTATGACTTATTTATGTCCTATTAACACTTAAATTAATATTTAACAATTATTCATAGAGGGGATTTATATGTTTTGTTATAATTGCCTATCCACAATTAAGAGAGAAACTAAATTTTGTCAGTGTTCTTTAACTTGAACACCAGCCTGAGAGTTAAACTTGGAACATTTATGCAGTTGTTGTGTGGACCTTGTTTGCTCTCAGAGCACTGAGGTCAGCATGAATAATCACATTAACAGGGCAGGCCTCTGCATCTTGTATGAAAGGTTGTTAATTAAAAAACAGATATTAGCACCAAGGGTTATCAGACACTTCAACAATGTCATTAAATATTATAGTATAATACCTGCTTTGGTTAATCCTTTAAAATTCCAAGAGTGGCCTAATTCCTGAAGACCCAAAATCCCTTCATTAAAGATTATTTTTTATAACTCTGGTCAGCTTGGAGAAAATGTAAATGACAAAGGAAAATAAAAGCGCCAATCCCAGTCTACTGTCTCCATTTTATCTTTCCATAAGCATAAATGTCACCTAAATATATCCTTACAACAAAGAAGAAAGGCACGATTGTGCAACTAACAAAGAGAAAAGGGAGTTCAAATTCCTTTATGAAACTTTTTCTTGATGATTCTAAGTATCTGCTTATGCTACTGGCAAAGCCATTATCATTTTCCCAAAGTTTTGCTGAATAAATGATATAGCGTTGTATTCTAAACTGATAATTTTTGCACCTGTTGCACTATATGATGTAATTCTCTCATGGAAATGTTGTCAGTGAAACTTTGCCAAGTGACACCTAATTTAAGCTCGTATGAGGAGACCACAAAGAAGAAATTTTAGAGAAGTTAAAGGCACAAAGGGCTCCTTGTTTTCCTTCAATTAACTTAAAAGGCCCACATGAGAACAAGTACTCAAATGGAAGATGAGTAACAGTGACTGAGGTGTTTATGAAGTAGGCATTTTATTAAATCCAGAACAACAGCACCCTGGCAGATATAATAGTTGGCACATTCCACCTGGTGCTTAGTATCAAGAAATTAAAAAGATAACATAAATATCCCTTTATTCACCATTTATGTGATTTAATTTTTTTTAATTCTTATTATTTTTTAAGAGAAAGAGAGAGGGAGGCAGAGTGTGAGTGGGGGAGGGACAGGGAGAGAGGGACACACAGAATCCAAAGCAGGCTCCAGGCTCTGAGCTGTCAGCACTGAGTCCAAGGCGGGGCTCGAACCCATGGACCGCGAGATCATGACCTGAGCCCAAATCCAACGCCCAACCTACTGAGCCACCCAGGAACCCCTATTCATTGTTTATTTGTAACCATGGCCACTCCTATGTCTGATACTTCTGGGCAACATAGACTTCTCAAGTAGTTGGGAACCTAAGGAGCACTTTTTATGGCACCTTTAGCCTCCTTAAGATGTTTTCTTACCTCGGATTAATTTGTAGCAATTATGAACATGTAATTATACGTAAAGCTGTTCCAAAATATCTTAAGGTAGACCATTTATTGTAGAAATGCTATTGTATTCAATGTCACTGAAGCACTTATGTAGTATTAATTGAGGGGCCACTATGGTTCATTCTACACTATGCTTTGGTAGAAAGGCATCACCTCATCCTTGCCTTCAAGGAAATTACAGTTGAGTTGTGCTGACTATATCAATCCACAAAAAATAATTAGAAAACCATATAGCACAGTGCATATTTATGTGCTTATACGTGTAAAAAGAGTAGCCAATATTCAGCAGAAAGAGATCAACCAGAATAAAATAATAGAATGTGATTAAAGAGTTTGTCTAAACTTTTCCTTTGAGATGTGATGCAATTAAGGAAGGTTTGCTTCATTGAGGAAGTGGGATTTGAATTAGACCTTAAAAATGATTAGATTGAAAAAATGCGATATTAGAAGAGATTTAACTGAATTAATTTATCTCACTTTTCCCAATTTTCTTTGTATGAAGACATACATAACCTGTTCAGCTTTTCTTTGTCAAATAATCCATAAATACATAAAGTATATGTGATTAACAATGCCTTTAATGCGAAAAGACAGCTTATTTTCTTAATCCAACGCTCGCTTTATGTAATTATTCTTTTTGCAAACTACTAGTTGGTTATATTAACACTCGAGTAATCTTGACAAGAAGTTGCTTTAAGCAGTTAAAGATCCAGATGCCGATCAGCATGCATTAAGTGATTCAGCTTAATTGGTTCCATCTAGATAAATTACTTACCTCAGTTCCTATCACAATTTCTTCCCTGGTAGCGTAGAATAGAAACTCATATAGCTTGTAGTGTTGAAATAAGCTGAAATACAAAATAAATGTGCAACTCTGATAAATTTATTTTAGGAAAGAAAGCAAATATGTAAGAGTATTTATGAAAGGGAAATTGTTCATATTGAGCAAGACATTAAATACTAACATGGAGTGAGCTACCTGTTTTATTCCAAATGAATTGTCCAGAAATGGTAAAAAACTAAAGATTTACTTTTTTGAGACGTTGACAGTATAACACAGTACCGAATATAAGATCAGTCAATTAATCTGTGATAAATGGATAGGTTTGGGATAAGGGAGCAATTAGATTGCTTCTGGGCTTTTCTTGGCTGGCAATCAAATAATGCAGTGTCCCTAAACAACACCAAACTTCACATTATTTTTCATGTTTTGCTTTAAACTGGAGTCAGTTTCCTCTGGAATGAACGGACTGAAATCTATAATCTACATCTGTATTATTTACTTCTCACATTCTCAAACTGATTCAAGATTAAATTAATCTCTGATAACACCTGAAAATGATGCAGCATGTACTGGAATCCATTTAGGAGTTGTCTGATTTTCCTGTAGAATATTTGTTCACACGTCAAAGAGAGGAATTAATATAAGAAAGGTAATTTCTTCAATTTTTACCCTAAAGAGCAGGTGGTCAGTGTCTAAAAACCATGAAGAGCTAAAGAATAGGAGCCTCTTAAAACAAGTATTTCTGGTAAGTTTAAAGATCTCAGCAATGTGTTATTGAGAGTTAAAAATTTACTGAAGGGCTGATTTCTAATATCCTGTTTGTGATAATATTTGAATTTTCTAATTCTTTTTCTGCTGGTTGGGAAAATTAATAGACTCATAATACAGCAAAATGCCCAAGAACAAAAAAATTGTCTTACTGGTTTCTCTTTCACTCTGGTGCCTTTTGCTATTCAAGAAAATTGATTTTAATATAACTTAGAAATTAACATTTGCAAAATGTAGCTACAGAGCATGTATAATAATGGCTTCTCCTGAATGCTGTAATGGATCAAAGTTTCAATTCATTTGAAATCAATGAAGAAATCCTCAGGCAGCTGGGTCTCTCTGAGTTATATCAGCAGTTGATTTCACTACTAACACAATCCATTAAAAAGTGATGGGTATGCAGACTCAGTCATGGTATTATTATTCTTTTTTTTTTTTGAGGCGGGGTGGGGGGACCTCGTACATTCAAATTATTCCTCAACACTCAGAAAACTAACTTAGCTTTTGACATTACTTTGATTTGTTGGCTAGAAAATACATCAAGATTAGTGAAGTTTGATGATTCAATGAAGCAAAATAAATTCAAATTCTCCTTTCCTTACATTGCTTACCTAGAGAAAGCTTTAAGGTTAAAAATATTACACTGGCAATAACTGATTGAGTAGAAAAAATAAAGACTGTAGAGTATTTGGAAACAACTTGGCTTCTTCTTTGTGAATTAGTGTAAAATTTTTCTTCCATCTTATGTTACACAAAGAAGTTAATTCATAAATCTTCCTTCCTGCAATTTTATAATCTTTCAGCCTCACTCTTCTCATTGCATATAGGAATTAGATTGTCTCATGTCAAAGGGGAAATTAACTTCTCACAATGAAAATAAAATGCATGACTTGGATGCAGTGGTCAAAGAAGCGAGCTGGGGCAAGACCAGGACTAGGGTAAGATAGATGAGAGGAGGAAGGCACCTAACGAGGCACTTTTCAGGGGTGGGTCAAGTTGCCTCCATTGCTTCGCTCTGGTCCCCATCTTGGTTGGGGTCTGTAACTTTACCAGGGAACTATTAGGTAACTTCCTCTGGGAGTGAAGTGACACCTCTGTTATGGGAATACATTTCCTCCCTCTTCCTTTGGAAGAAAGACTTCCAGCTGACTCAAGCCCCTAGACTATTTTGTCAAATACCTTGTCATAGTTCTAAATCAAAGGGAGAATCCTAAGAAATAAAATGGGTCAAGACATCTGGGCTCAATGCCAGGAAGTATACCCTGTTGTGTACAGAGGGGCAGTGTTGATTTTCTTATATTGAGTAAATGCCTATGCACATTACCTTCACCTAATTTCCAAGGAATAGGTAGAATACACAATGACAGAAGTGTAGTGGGACCAGATATATCTAAGTGATGTCTTATATTAAAAAGCTGCAGTAGCATTTATATGTATATGTATATGTATATGTATATGTATATGCATATGCATATGTATATCATATGTATATGATGGAATATACAATTTATATTCTATTAACAGTATCAAACAAAATTCCAATTTTATTGCTAGTTAAGTTTCACGTGGTATGGGTCATGTTCTAAAAACTACTCTTCCTGAATTGACGAGGGCTTACATTGGTTGAGTAAATTTAATATCAGATTAAATTGAAACATGCTTACACTATATAAAACTTATAATATGAGTTAGCTTCATATTTATAAAACTTCTTTGTAGTCATTAAAATGAAAAATATTATATGGTTTCATTGCCATTAAATGTATATATGTGGACCTATGAGGCATTCTAAATAGGTATTGTAAAAAAGCACATTTCTTTTTATACAACTTCAGTACCAATTCTAGATATCCTACTAACTGATATTTTATTTTCTGTAAAAGGTGCATTTAAAATGTATAAGTTCCTTGGGCAGAAGACATGAATAGACACTTTTCCAAAGAAGACACCCAGATGGCTAATAGATACAAAAAAGATGCTCAACATCACTTGTCATCAGGGAAATACAAATCAAAACCATGATGAGATACCACCTCACACCTGTCAGAATGGCTAAAATTAACAACACAAGAAACAACAGGTGTTGGCGAGGATGCAGAGAAAGGGGAACCCTCTTGTACTGTTGGTGGAAATGCAAATTGGTATAGCCACTCTGGAGAACAGTATGGAGGTTCCCCAAAAAACTAAAAATAGAACTACTCTACAATCCAGGAGTTGCACCACTAGGCATTTACTCAAAGGATACAAAAATAAAGATTTGAAGAGGTAGTGTACCCCAGTGTTTATAGCAGCTTTAACAACAAGAACCAAACTATTGAGAGAGCCCAAATGTCCATCAACTGCTGATTGGATAAAGAAGATGTATATATGTACAATGGAATATTACCCAGCCATCAAAAAGAATGAAATCTTGCCATTTGCAGTGATACGGATGGACCTAAGTGTATTATGCTAAGCAAAATAAGTCAGTCAGAGAAGACAGATACCATACGATTTCACTCGTATGTGGAATTTAAGAAACAAAACAGATGAACATATGGATAGAGGGGAAAAAGAGGAGAGAGGAAAACAAACCACAAGAAACTCTTAAACACTGAGAACAAACTGAGGGTTGATGGAGGAAAGTGGGTGGAAGATGAGCTAAATGGGTGATGGGTATTAAGGAGGGCATTTACTGGAATGAGCACTGGGTGTTGTATGTAAGTGATGAATTACTGGAATCTACTCCTGAAACCAATATTGCACTGTATGTTAACCAAAATTTGAATAAAAAATTTAAAAGTGTATAATTTATTTGAAATCACAATATGAAGATTTTATGTCATCAAAGTTCTGATTTGCTTCACGTGACCAATCTCTCAAACATTTTATGGTTGTTGTTGTTGTTTTTAGAAATGAGAATAGAAATTTTTGGTAAGTAAAGTTACTCTGGTTAGCATTTAATGATGACTAACACTGACATCCCTTCCTAACTTAATTTTCTGAAATGAAATGTCAAGTAATAGACTCATGAGCATCCTTCGATTAAAGAGAAAAGAGGTGCAATCTTGCACCATCTAGAAGATGTCAGTAGGGCACCTGCATAGAGTTGTGCTGCTATGGTTAGCTATCAGTCCTGGTGCCCATCATAAACCCCCTGGGCTTAGAGCTCAGATGTAAAAATGTGTTCTTCAAAGAGAAACCTGGCAGTTTCAAATAGATAAAGAAGAGAAAGAAGGTTGCTATACAAATATGCAGAAAATTCCCCTCACCTAGGGATTACCAAACTCTGATGGGCAAAAAGACCTTGGGGAGCAAGGTTTCCAGTTCTGGATTTCCATTCCCTTCCTGCCTCCAACACAGGGACCTTGCTTTACTCTAATTGATATGAAGGGTACTGCAGCTCTCAGCGAGAGACACACATTAGGAGGTATATATTTTACATTAAGAAATCAAATTATATCCAATGCTATTATATAAAAACATTTTATATCATATTCTATTATTAATTCATGCCAGAAACCAGCATATAAACCTTATCATATTAAACACATTAATATTTAAAAAGCTTCCAGACTACAGCCAGGATCCTTGCCAAGCAAATCATGAGCATGTCTAGGACATCATGCAGCACCCTTTATTTTGGAATTTTAAAATTTAAAATTGGAAAACACTGCAGTGTATAGTGTTGGAGGAAAAAAGATATTCTGCAGAAGCTTTTAGTTAGGCAAAAGACAGATTTTTTACCAACTCTTGTTTAAATATTTGCAAACTCTCAAAATGTCCTTTGGGAAAGATGCATGCCTCTAATGCAGACCTTGTGACAGATTATATAAAAGGCCAATTTCTTAGTTCACCACTGAAGAATCACTGTAATAAAAATATTTCCCCTCAATTCACCATAATTTCCTAAGCACAGAGAAAAACTTAATGAGTTTAATTGGTTAATACTACAAAGTATTTCAGGGCACATAATAAATTTGAGGAAGCATGGATATATACCTCTCTAACTTCTAGCACAAAGAATTTCAAATAAATGTTTAAATGGAAATTAATGTTGTTCTAAAATGTAAAATTTTGATGTCAAGGCCCACTACCTAAAATATAAAGTCCATTGTAATCAAGTTGGATTAATGTGAAAGAATAAATGTATTAATAAAATGTTATTAATTAGAGATTAAGAGAAAAAATAAATTTTTGTATCATTTATTATAATTCTACATGAAAAAAAGTAATTCTACATGAACTTATACTTTTTAAACACAAACCTTTTTTTAAGAATGCAAGATTAGCCAAAAATTCAATGTTCTGAATTTTATTTATTGGATTAAAGATTTTAATATTATCTCATTATTGGCTGGGCTTATTATAGCATAAATACTGTGAATGTCTAAAAATTGAATTGGTTTCTATTTAGTAGACATTTTATAAAATAAAATGAAATGAAAAATAAATGCTACTGAAAGAAAATCCATACCTGATTTTTAAGTAATCGATGATAGCATTGGCTTGTTTTATATTAAAAAAACTCCATTCTTCATTTTTCTGTGAATGGGGTGGTCCTATTTCAGCCATAACTTCTCCAAGCCATTTTATGCTGTCTTCTAAGGACATATGCAGTGCTGAAATAAAACCCAGAGACTCTTAAGCATTATTTTGATAGATGTTTTGGGAACAAAATAATTCAAGATGTCCTTAACGTCCAAATATTTACTTTTCCAATATTGGTAAGGCCAATGCTAATAGCAATGTTGTTTTTTAATGATATGTTAGTAATTATATTTTTGTAAAAGAACAGCAACTGACACATCCAACAATAATAAATTACTGTCATGCTATACAATTGTCTAAAGATTTTGTTTCCATTTTAAGATGCACAAATAATTTAAAATCTACCTAAGATAACTTTAAAATGGAAAATATACTTTTTAAATGATCTTAGAATAAAGGAAAATATGGAAATGACACAATGGTGGTTTGAATTAGCTGCTAAGGAACACCTGTACGTGGTGGATTCAGTTACTGTAGACAGGAGAGCTGAACTCAGAGCTGAAAATGTAGATTAACAAAGTCAACCAACACTTGGCTTTGGCTGATTGTTACCACGTGGTAATTTGGGACTGAAGATTTTCATTAGATGCCAGAAATATGTATTTTTATGGAAAACATCAAGATATTTTTTTTCTCCAAGATACAGACTTATAACTTATGTAAGCTGTTTCTCAAATGCATGCCTGGTGGTGGTGGTGAGAGCCAGATGACAGCACAGAGCGAGGCTGACACCACTTTGCCACCATCACCAAAAATAAACAAGTCAATGGTTATGGTCTATTCTCCTGCAACTAAAAATAAACAAGAAAGAATAGTATCTTTTATGGCATGTGTCAAGTTGAAAAAGGAGTAGATAAATGTCAAAAGCCTTAGACTCAACATTTACAGTGTCTATAACACAAATATGAACTTCCATCTTCGTTTCCTATTTAATTATGCTCATTTTTATTTGTGGCAGGCAAAATATTATTTCCATCACACACACACACACACACACACACACTGACAAGTGATGAGTGTATGGACATGAGACTGAAGAGACTGAGGTGGAGAGTTGAAAATCTCTGGCAAAGATGAGATTGGAGCAGCTGCTTGGGTTGGGGGAGGTGTTAGCTGGGGGCCTGGATGAAGGCTCTGGGGAGCACTGTGCTGCTCAATGTGAGCCCCACCCTCCTGGACCCAACCTCTATCTCTCGTAGGAAACCAGCAGTAAACTTTCTACTTCTTGCTAATGGAGTGCATCTTTCAGGGAGGTCGGAGTGGGTAATGCAGAGGATTTATGAGAACATAAGCAGATTGTTGGACCCAGCCACTTCTGGTAACACAGCTACTCTTTCACTCTGGGATGTGTTATGCCCTCAAATTACTGATCAAATAACAGTAAAATGATTAAAAATCTTAGGAAGACATGATGAACACTAACTTGCAATTTGTTTAGTCTAGATTCTTTTCTACCTGTGGGAATGAGAATGAAGCAAAAAACTGTGTAACAGTTAAAATCTGGTTTGATGAATGACAATTAGTCCATTTCTCATAGCGCCCCTTCAGATTTTCTTTTATACATGTTAGACACACAAGTTATTGCTGGATAACTGGGCTTTACTGTATCATTCTAAGGGAAGCTCAGTTATTATTGTACATTTCTTTTCCTATGATAAACTTGAAACTGTTTGGGGATAACTTCAGAAATGAAAAATTTGTTGGATAAAAGCAATTCAAAAATGAATGGATTAAAAATCTGAATCATTTAATTACTAAAATGGTATTAATTAGAGATGCTGGAGGAAAAAGTAATTCTTAGATGATTATAATTCTAGATGTAATTACGTGTATCAAGCACAAAAATACATTTATATGACTATTTTCTTATGTTGAAATATAATTGACACTTTAAAACTGTTTTCTATGTCTAATGTCTTTCTATAGATAATGGCTTTAAAAATTAGGAAAGTTATCACTTCACTTATCTAACTGAAATATTTGCTTTTAAAAATCATATTTAGTGATATGATTAAAATATGAAAGATTAAACCATTTAAATAGTAAGGGCTATTAGAAATCAAAGTTATTCTTTGAAAATTTAGGATAATGAACGAACATGCTAGAATAATTAGTTGGAAGACGTAAGATGGTACCTTATAACTGCCACTTACTAGCTAGGTGATCTAAGTTTCATTTCCTAAATCTGTAAATGAACATAAGACTAACTTTCAAAATGATGGTGCTGTTGTGAGGCTCAAATAAGGCATGCATGTTAAACTCTTGGTAAACTGAAATATGTACACTACTATATTACATGTATATAGAGCTTTCTAGAGTCAGCTCAAAGCTGGCACATTTGATGTAGCAGTAGGAAGGATGAATTCTCAGTCACTGGGGTTGATGCTTGTGACCTTAAGGAGTTATTTAATCTTTCTAAATCTCATTTATTTTTCTCATTTTTAAAATGGGGAGAATAATAGAACTATTTCAAGGTTGTGTGTGAATTAATTAGACAGTATTTGGAAAGCAAATGCACTGACTGGCACAAGATAATCCTACACAAATGTTACCTATTATCATCATTCCTATTTAGGGGGAAATAATTAAACTTCATGGAACAAAAAAAGTATTCTGTGGCTATGTGCTAATATTCATGTTATATAGAGGAGAATCAATCTAGGCCCATCAACCTGGACAGGGGTCAAATATCCAGTCTAATACTCAACAGCTTGTCCTTGGTCAGACCCTGGAAAAACTAGAGCCCAAAATGTATATTGTTAAGACAATCCTATGTTGCATTATCTTTTAGTTTTGATCCAATGTGATTCCAGGTGAGTTGTCTGCAGAATGCCTTGTGGATAATGCAGCACAAACTTGAGACAAGGAACAGATCAGAAACTGAGTCAGTAGAAAATGCAGTTCCTACGCTAGAATTTTATTAACGGTCAACCACGCTGCAGCCAACAGCCTAGACATGTTCTACGGTGCTTTTTCTGTTAAGATGTTGCTGGAGGCAAATGTTCACTGTGTGCTCAGGACTCTACCTCCTCTGAGTCCAAGTATAAACAGACTACCTCTTTCTCTGACACACTTACCTATGATTATATTCTTTCATGATGATAACTATAACCTTCTTACGTTTAAAGGTTTGAGGGAATTTTTTTTTCCTGCCCAAAGGGAAAATTAGATCCCTTGCTTTTTTTCTGGTTAGATTTTACATATGTACTTTCACGCTCTCCTAGTTTATGAGTAGTTGCATGGGTCCTGCTCAAGTTTTTAAAACTCATTTTTGAACTGATATCAACAATATAAAATTTCACATAAAAGAAATATTTTTGAGTCATTTGTAAGTTACAGAAAAAAATAAAATGGAAATATCTTGTCAAATTTGGAATGTGAAGATTCATGAAAATGTTTTACTTTCCTTTATTCTGTTTCTAGATTGTGAACATTAAGCTAAGAGGTTGCAAACCATAGGACTGTTCACGTCATATATTCTTTTTTTTTTTTTTTTTTACTATAAGTCTGTCTGACTTATTTCAATTTTTGCATAGGTGATATATTCACATGGTTCAAAAAATATAGGTGAATGTATATTGTGAAAAGGCTTCCTCACCTTTGTTGCCCACACGTCCACTTCCCACATCCTTCCCTACAGAAAAAATTCCCCAGTGCTATTGAGAAATAATTGACATATATCACTGTGTAAGTTTAGGGCACACAGCAAGATGGTTTGATTTATTGTCCAGTGGTTACTGCAATAGATTTAGGTAACATCCATCTTCTCATATAGACACAATAGAGAGAAAAGAAGACAAAGGAAAAAAATTCTTGTGATGAGAACTCTTAGGATTTACTCTCTTAACAACTTTCTTGTATATCACACCTGGTAACTGTCATCAGCATGTTGTTCATTACATCCCTAGTACTTATTTATCTTGTACGTGGAAGTCTGTAGCTTGACCACCTTCCACATTCTGGTATCCACAATTTCTATGGGTTTGGTGTTTTGTTTCTTTGTTTTTGTTTTAAATTCCACATGTAAGTGCAATTGTACAGTATTAGTCTTTCTCTGTCTGATTTATTTCATTTAGCATATGCCTTCAAGTTTCATCCATGTTGTCACAAATGGTGAGATTTGTTTCTTTAGGGTGAATAACAATGTTCCATGGTTATGTATATATACTACAACTTCTTTATCCATTCGCCCATAGATGGACGCTTAGGTTGTTTCCATATCTTGGCGATTGTAAATAATACTGCTATGAACATGGGGGTGCAGATATCTTCTTGAGTTAATGTTTTTGTTTCACTTGGATATATTCCCGGAAGTGGGGTTGCCAGATCATATGGTTGTTCTATTTTTAATGTTTTGAGGAAACTTCATACTGCTGATTATTTATATAAATCATTAATTTCTATCAGTATAGATTGGTGGATGTTAATTTTGTACTTTGGATTATAATTCAATACTATCATGCTATTTTGTTCATATTGTTCCAACTTTGGACATTGGAAACTTTTCAGTTGGCTTCTCTATTTCATTGACACACCAACCATCATTTGATTTTTGAGCATTTACTCTTGGCCACTACAATATGCCCCCAGGCTCATCTTTTATGTTCCCTGCTCCAGGTCTACAGTAAGCCTTCTCTCCTTTTCTTGGAGAATTAAATTATAAACCAAGACCTGGTTCCTGGGTATGCTCATTACTACTGGGATGCTGTCGCTTCTAGGCCTTCTCTGCAGACAGAGCTAAGAAGTATATGTACATACACTTAACTCTACAAATATATGTGTATCTACATTAAGTTAAGTGAGTTCATGCTGATTTATCTCCAGGTGATATTTCTCATTTTTTGCTTTTACAAACATGACTGAAACTAACGACTTTACTTACATGTATGTAAGTAAATATGTAGGATAAATTCACAAAAGTGGAATTGCTAGGTCAAAGGGGACAATACATTAGTGAATTTGATAGACAGCTGCTAACCTAAACTCCTCAGGAGGGTTTTAAATACATATTTCCATTAGTAATATAGGATAGTACCTATTTTCTTATAGCTTTGACAGCTGAAAATGCTAC